TCATGCAGCTACAAAAGAAGAAAAATGGAGCAAGAGTTTACAGTAAGAGGCACCGTCATTGTCCTGTCATTTGTCTAAAAAAAAAAAGGAAATGAAAGTGACGTAGCCAGAGCATTGGCTCTACCTGTGAAATCTAAAGCACGTAAACTTTAGTGTGATTTGATCAGGAATAGTGGAGACCGTAAGCATTATTTTGAGGTTTTAAAGGCAGGCGTTGGAACTTTAGTCCCAGCTAAACAGCGGAATTCTCCAGTTAAATCCAGTGACTTTTTGCACTGTATAGACTGTGCTGCATTGCTTAAACGAAAGTCGCTGTGGAGGCATGTGGCCAGGTGCCGGCTTTCACAGAAAGATGCCCTGGCAAAACCAGGTAGAAGTAGGGTCCAGTCCCTTTGCTCCCTAGCCCAGCCTGTACCGGAGGGCATCAGCAAAAAGCTGTGTTCTTTAATTTCGGCAATGAATCAAGATGAGGTCACAGGTGTTGTAGGTCTCGGAGAGCACCTATACTTAAAACATGGGCATGATAAGACTAAGCATGATTACATTAGGCAGAAAATGAGAGAAGTTGGTAGGTTAATGACAAAGCAAAAACGGCAGGGAAATTGAAAACAATTAAGGATTTCTTTATTCCTTCCAAGTTTAACCATGTGATTGACGCAGTCAGGTCTTTGGCTGGCTATGATGAGGAAATAAATCTATACAAGACTCCATCCTTGGCCCTCAAACTCGGCCATAGCCTCAAAAAGCTAGCAGATATTCTTGAATGCGACTCAAAAATGGTGTTGATGAACTGTTTATAAAAAAAAAACTCCAACGAAGCCGGCTGATTTTTGAGAAGAGGTGAGACGTCTGTGTTTCTTCTGCTGCCCTACAGACCCTCTCCGCCAAGCGAAGTGGAACACTCCTGACTTGCTCCCTCTGACTGAGGACGTTAGAGTCATGCATGCACATATTGAGGTATGTCGACCTGAATATGTGCAGACCCTAAAGAGTGAACCAACCCCTAAGCACTAGTCTACAGTAGTTTTGACTCTTTGCGAGGTCATTATATTCAATCGAAAAAGGGAAGGTGAGGTTTCAAAGATGCCACTGATAGCGTTTACTTTAAGAAGTAAAACTGGGATCCATTCTGACTTTGCGTTTGGACTGTCTGAAATTGAAAAAAAGCTGTGTCAGCATTTTTAACGAATTAAAATTAAAGGGAAAAGAATTTGTGCCGGTTCTGTTGACTCCTAAAATGATTGCTTCGATGGAGGTGCTGGTGGAGAACAGAGGGGCGTGTTCCATCTCTAACCATAACCCATACTTCTTCTCCCGGCCTGGCGCAGACACTCACATCAGGGGATCAGACTCCCTACAGCAGGTGGCCAAAGAATGTGGTGCGGTGCATCCAGAGATGTTAGACATGGCTACTACAGTTCTTAATATGAAAGAGAATGAAATGGATATACTGGCAAGCTTCCTCGGCCATGACATTTGCATCCACAGACAATATTACAGACTACCAGAAGGGACGCTGGAGCTGGCCAAAATCAGCAAAGTACTACTGGCCATGGAGCATGGAAGAGTGACGGAATTCAATGGAAAGAGCCTCGACCAGATACAAATTGAGCCTGAAGGTAATTCTTGATATTATAAAAATATGTATTATTTTTATTATTATTTTCCCCTAAATGACACTTGTGTTTTTATTTTTTGTGCTACAGGGAGAGCAGTAGAGATTATCTCAGAAACGGACTGGCTAAAAGAAACTTCAAGTGGAGAACCTTCAACCATTCAACCAGATGCACTGCATGGTAGTGACAGTGCCCCTTTTGGTAAGTGTACCAGGTGGATGGTTCAGGGGGACTGGGTGGTGGAGGGTTACAGCCAGGCTGCTTGGCCCTAACCCTGGGAGTGTATATTTCTAATATCTTTTTATTTCTCTCTCCAGAACGTGTAGGAAAGCCATGGTCTGCATCTGAGGTGAAGGCTGTGGAGAAGACCATGATGTCTTTCATACAGACTGGAAATGACCTGCATTAACACCTCACCAGATGACCTTAGACATCGGACATGGAGTGGCATGAAATTCTATGTAAAAAAATAGAATCATTGCATTTTGAGAAAAAAAAAATCAATAATAAAATGTTCTAATCCTGTAAAAGATTTGTCTGTTTTGTATTGACTGTTTTGGAATGTTTCATATTACTTAAAGTAGTCCCAGTAAAAAAAGATCAGTGCAGAGTAATTCTAAAGTGACCCCAGTATTGGCAAAACTACAGCAAGAATTTAAGAGTTAAAACCATGTCTGTGGGTCCCATATGGAACGGCCCTGTCTTAGGGACCCACCAGGTAACAAAAACGTGTGTGTGTGTTTGAGTGTGCACAGAGACCGAGGGTTCATTTCAGAAGAATATGCAGAGAGCAGGGATATCATGTACTATTTTGGCCTTACAAATTATACCGAGACTGTTTTCTTTGTCATATCGTGTTTTACAATGTGCTACTACTTCTAATAATGCTATCCGTGTTATTGTGAAAGCTACTAGTAATAATGCATCGGTTTTATATAGCGCTATTTTGGACACTCAAAGACGCTTTACATGTCATTATTCTTTCACTCCATACACAATGGTGATAAACTACTTCTGTAGCCACATCTGCCCTGGGGCACAATGACAGAAGCGAGGCAACCAGTATGTGCCATCGGCCCTTCCGACCACCACCAACCGTTTACACACACACCAGACTCATTCTAGGCAATCGGGGAGAAGTGTCTTGCCTAAGGACACAACGGCAGTTTGGCACTTTACTGCCGCAGCCGCTCCACTGTGGCTAGTGTTCCCAGAGGTAAGTGTCTGGCGAAGGACACAACAACAGCAGACATCAGTGGGAGTCGGTGGAGAAGGTCCCACGGTGGGCTCGAACCCACAACCTTCAGGCCCAAAGGCCAATGCTAACTAAGCCACTGTCGCCTACTACTATTACTACTGCTATTGCTACTTCTACTTTTGCGACTACTGCAACCACTACTACTTCTATTGTCACTACTTTGGCTACTGCTACTACTAACAATGTATTTATTTACAAACAAGTAGTTGTAGTACCCACTGATGCTACCGGTATTACTAATACTACCACTATTACTACTACTACTACTACTACTACTACTACTACTACTGCTATTACATTATACTTTTTCCCCTTTCGCTCAAGGTCATATTCTTGTTACATGAACTGAACTTCCTGTTTCTCTCTGTAAATATGATGGACGACGGAACGCTAACAAACAATATTAGCCCATAAATCTCTGCTAGCTGTCGGTGACTGCTGCTAGCGCCCTAATGCAAACGTATGGGCAGGATGCTAGGCTAGATCCACAGCTAAATCAATGTGCGTGACGCTAATGGAGCAGCAATCGAGCGCAGTGCTGACAAGGACGTTAGCGCGCGCCTAGATTAGCACGCGTCAATAATGTTTATGATAATTGTTTTTTGTGGACTCGTCGTGCATGAGGACGTGGGTAGACGGAACTGTGAGCGAGGGTAACTAAAGGGACTAAAGCTGAGGGACGTAACTTTCAAGCCACAAACAAAAACACTAGTTTGCTTCTAAAAGTAGTTCATAGTAGTTTTCATGTATCTTTGAGACAGAAAAGTGACAACAAGAGGACCGCATCACACAGCTAATCAACTCTCAGCCCAACGAGTCAAGTAGTGACTCATGCATTTTTATCATAGATTATACTATACTCCAGAGACTCTGTGTCACGTGGGGGGATGAAGAAAAAGGGAACCCAAAATGCAGGACTGAAAATCAAAGTAATTTAATAAAATAAATCCAAGGTAATGTATAAACACCAGAACTGAAGACAGGACAAACGTGGTAGAGATAATGGATGGACAACGAGTGAAGAAAGGTACAGGCTATATATACACACAGGGACACACAGGTGAATCACATTAGGGCAGGATATTAGGACATTAGGGCAGGATTCAAACTCAAATACAAGAGAACAAATAAAGTAAATAAAACCAGGATAAAATAATCCAAAAAGTCCACACCATGACACTCTGGTCTTTCTCCGGTCTCTCTATAGTCTGTGGTCTCTCTCGTCTCTCTCTGGTAATTCTCTGGTCTCTCTTTCTGGTCTCGCCTCTGGTATCTAGTCTCTCTCTAGTCTCTCTCTGTTCTCAGTTATAACATTTCTACAACCAGAAGCAGAAGACATACCCATGAAGTAGGCGGTGGTCTTGCACATGGTCTCTCCGAACACATAGTCCTCCATGATGTTGGGGATGAGGGTGAAGGGCATGCAGAACAGCGCCATCATCAGGTCGCTCACTGCCAGCGACAGCAAGAAGCAGTTGGTGACGGTGCGCATGCGTTTGTTCAGGACCAGGACCACAAGGATCAGCAGGTTCCCCACCACGCTCACCAAGAAGATCAACACGTACAGCAGGATCCGGAATGAGTCCATTTCTGAGAGAAGGAGAGGGAACCATAGACATGGAGTTAAATAATGTCTTTGGTCTCTACCTTTGGTCTCTCTGGTCTCTATCTTTCTGATATCTGGTTTCTGTGGTTTCTGGTCTCCAACTGGTGTCTTTCCAAACTCTTAGGTCTCTCTCAGGACTCTCGCTGTACTCTCTCTCTGGTCTTAGGTCTCTCTCACTCTGGCCTCTCTCTGGTCTCAGGTTTCTCTCACCCTGGTCTCAGGCCTCTCTCATTCTGGTCTCAGGTCTCTCTCACTCTGGTATCTCTCTCTCTCTGGTCCTGGCTACTATACACTGCAACTTTAGACTTATGCTGCTTTCAGACCGCACGCTTTTCGCGCGTCAAAATCGCGTCCAACACGCCTCGCTGGACGCTTGTGACAGACGTTGTCACTGAGTGACGGAGAGCGTTTTGAGGAGAAGGGTCTGTCTGCAGCCTGCAAGACCGAGGCGTGTCATAAAGTAGGCGTGTCGTGAAGTGACGTCACTACACAACACGCCCACTACACGAATGAAGTTAAACCACGCGGAATTAGGCTGTCTGGAAGAGACATGGCCAACCGTACACAAACACAAATTGACAACCAACAACGTTTTATTTTTATTTTTAGTCCGTCACACAAGTTAGTGTATTAATGAATAAATGCACATCATCCTGAATGGATGAATTGTCCATGAAATGTTTGAAAAAGTTAACTAAAACATTGCAGAGAAGGCAATTTGTATGGGTTTCTCCTGAGAGTCATACCATGTGCCATCAACATGTTGTTAGGCACATAGCATAATTGCCCAATTAATTTTGTATAATTAAAATTGCAATAAGAGGAAAAACTAAACTTTTTCACAAGCTTTCCAAAAAAAGTGGAAAATTAGTAAAAAGCCAATGTAGCTCATAATGTTTCCTATCACAGTTATACAAGTCACTGACCATAGTGGATTATGT